CTCTTCACCCACAGGCACCAGCATCACCCTATGCCCAGGGGGTGCTTAGGTTCCAGCCGTAGAGCACCCATGAATTCAGCACCTATGCTTGCACACCACAACACAGCCCCTGAGTCTCCACAGGACCAAGCTCTTAATACAATACATGACCCACTGTGCTACATTTATAAAGCTCAACCTCAAAAATTAGATTTTTTTTCCCCTTGAATCTTCATACAGAAAAGTTCTTAGAAATGCATAGGATGATATACCTCTCCACAAGCCATTCTCAGAATAATTCCAAACAACAAACAATGCTGTAAAAGATTAAGCATAGGTAACTTGCTATCAGAAAAATACAGTTTGTCAAATAAACTGGTCATTGCAAACAGTTTTCTCACTTCTACTTGCAACGTGTCTAAGACACAGAGCCAGCTGAACAAGGTAATCCACCTAAATCAATTTGCTAACAATGTATGTTCAACTTTTGCTTTTCAGATGAGTGAGAACCGCATGGACTCAAGGATAAACAGTATCTTTAATAGCATTGCCTAAGAGATTTAAAATCAGAGAGCTTTTGCCTCATCAGAAAACCAGTTCTGAAATGCAGCATTATTTTGTCTTCCTGCAAGTCAGCATCATCCATTCTTTATTATTAGCTTTTGCTTACAAAAATAATCCCATTATGCCTACCTGTGATCTAAGTTTGATTCTTATGCATTTCATCAACAGGTGCTAAAGCAAATGCAGCTCATGTCTTCTTATGGCAAACTACAAAGGATTTGGGGGTCACATTCATTTATCGTTTGCTTCAAAACTTTAGTAGCTAAAACAATTCTCTGCTACGCATTAATGTTATGTTAATGAATGAACATTGAACAAATATTCTGTTTTGCACATTTTCACTCGCTATGTATATAATGATTTAGTCAATTCACACTCAATCATTTACATACGAGATAATAATGAACTACAGATCAAACCTCTCTAGTCCAGAGCCCTCGGGATAGGACTATGCTGAGCCAAAGAATTTGGCTGTACTTAGGTACCATGAAAGACAATCATACTGTACTCCACAAAGTTTAGGGCATGTTCTGTGCTTTGCATTTCTACCTTACTATTTTCTTCGAGACAGTTCTCAATTAAAATCATCACCCATTGTACAGATGTTATTTTCTGTAACACTTCTTACTTGGGGTCAGATTTATCGCCCAGAACAAAAAAGGGGGAAACTGTTTTTCCACTTTGGTCACAGTGGATATCAAAATGCAAACCATAACAAGCTCCAGAGGAAAAGGAGATCCAAAACTGACACAGGCATCTCAAATAAACCTTGCTTATATTAGCCACTTCCTTCTAGAAGAAGGGATCTTGCAGTGTGGAAATGAATGGCGCTTCCAGTCACAGTTATTATCTCTGCTTATTCCCATAACCGTGCTATAGAAAAGGTTCAGCAAGTCTAAGGGCAGGAGCAGATGAGTGTCAGGAGGTAAGTTGCTATCCCCACCCATTTTTCAATAACTGTTATTACCTTTTTTCTGTGTAAGCAGGAGGATGATTCCGCACTCAAATTTCTACAGCAGGTACCATTTGCACAAATTCTCCATGTACTTAACTACTGGAGAAATTATACCTGCTGTAGAAATCCAGGTCTGGATTCCTGTGCATTATAAATACACCAAGGGCCAGAAATGGCTTTGTCAAGTAATTTTAGCATCTGAATGAGACCAAAGACGTTAAAACCATTCTGCTCCTATACCAGCATGCCTCACTGTTCCTGGCATAACTAGAATACCCAAGTGCTTGGATGAACTCCAGATTTTGAAACAGCCACCAGAGGCAGCTGACAATCAGTTTAGGACAGGCGAGCATGCACTTTCTTAATGCCAGTTTATACTCTGCTCTCCTTAAAATCCAGTATTTCCCCGTTAGCCTTAGCAGCCACAAAGGAGGTGGAACCAAAGAATAGTCTATGGAACTAAATTCTCCCAATATATTTGGAATGTCAGCAAACAGCCCTAGGCTAGCTAGATATTAGTCATCTCTACTTTTATCTCCTCAAGACATTTCGGGACTACCACTGACAAACATCTCCAGTTTAAATCTCACCTATCTTCTCTGCAAACTATCAAAATAGTTCCTCACAATAGAAAGTACTCTGTTCAGTCACAGAGAAAACAACCTGGAATGAGCAGGTATAGAGTAAATGCGTAGCTCAAGATTTGCAGTTGCTATAGTGAAGGCAAGGATTCTCTGCTTTCCCTCCTGCACAGCCATCATGCAATGTCTTTAAAAACAATGTCAGTAATATGCGGATGATACCAAACTCTATATCTCTTATGGCATATGTAAAATGGCACTTTCTCCTAATGCCTAAAAATGATCAGTGCCTATACAACATTTAACTGGCTACAGATGAATTCAGAGATGATGTTCTTGACAAAACTGTCTCCTTCATAAATTCCCACAATGATATCTCAGAATATATGTTTTTAAGAATAACCCAGGAAACACACACAAGAAACAATAGATCACAAAAATAACTGCATTTGCCAAAGTTAATTACTTGAATTCACTAATAAGTGATGCACAAATAGTATGTTTTATTATGCACCATACATTTATTATGCAGCTTTACATTTGAGTTGCGAAGTCTCAGATCTAGCATTGTTTATAAACAATTTCAGTAACTCACAAGAGGCCAGTAAATGAGAACTAAAACCCCACTAAAATGAAGAAAAGACTGGGAAATGTCTTTTTTGCATTCTGAGTAAGCCAGTTGGACAAAATCTAAAATAGGCACAAGACATGACACGAATAAGGAAATATTATGTGAAAAATTTCTGATTTTTTTTGTTATCCCCTTGCTTTGTTGATCATATTTCCTCTCAACTCTGTCTCTCCCTTTTCTTTTCCACTGTATATTGTTGAAGGCAATGAGTCATCTCTTTCTACAATTAGGCTGCACCTACACTACAAGTTAGGGTGCAATTCTCCTACTGAAGTTCACATACTTATTCCTGCTAAATCTCACCAAGCTACCAAGAGTATAGCAGGGCAGCCAGCATAGGCACAACTGAGCGGGGCCTTGTATAAATCAGCCTGAACTCAGGGTCAATCTTCAACCGTGAGCACCTGTTACCACGGTTACACTGCTAGAGTAGAAGAGCGAGTTATGGATTAGGGATATTGAATTTAGTTGAATCATCTAGTCGATGGATTTACTATCAACTAGTCAATTAGTTGATAAGCAGGGGAGCTGCAGCAGAGTAAGCTCCCAGCCCTGAGAGATAACTCCGATGCAGCTCTACCTTTTAAATGTATTAAGAGCCAGCAGAGTGAATAAAAGGCTGAAGCGCAGCAGGGGGGACCCAGCATGAGCCAAGACAACTGATTCCTGGCACGCCCAGTCCCCCCTGCAGAGCACCAGCCTTAAACATAAAAAGGCTGGAGCATAACAAGGGGACCCAGTGTGAGCCAGGAATCAATTGTCCCAGCTCACGCCAGGTTTCCCCCTGCTCCTCCCCACTGTACTTCTGATTTTTAAATGTATTAAGAGCCTGCTGGCTTTAAAAAGCAGAGGCACAGCATCTGGGACTGGGCACGAGCCGGAAATCAGCTGATTCTCAGCTTACGCCCAGTCTCTGCTACCCTCCAGCACTGTCTCTATGGAGGATGGGGGGGGAAAACCAGCTTTTAAGATGGCTCTCCCCAGCACCGGCTCCTGCTCTGCCCCTTGCTGCCTCTGATAAGCTTTTGCTTATTGGATAGTTGACTAGTCAGCCAGTCGCTTAAATCCCTATTATGGATATCAGAGATACAAATTGACCAGTCAAACAAAAACCTAATTTGGAACCCAAAGTAGAGAGGCAGGTAGCAGAGACAAAAAACACTGTAGAGTACTATGTTAAACATAAACTAATATAAATATATAGGAAGTAAAAAAAAAAGTTTGACCAAGTAAGGAAACTATTCTGCTTGTTTCATTTTAATTAAGACAGTTAAAAGCAACATTTTTCTTCTGCATAGTAAAGTTTCAAAGTTCTATTAAATTAGTATTCAGTTGTAATCTTTTGAAAGAACAACCATAATGTTTTGCTCCATGTTACGAACACCTCCATTCCCAAGGTGCCTGTAACTCTGAGGTTCTACTGTATTATTTTCTCACTAGCTCAAGGAGAGCTAACATGAATATCAAACAGGAGAATAGTGCTAGAAATGTAGCTGTGTTAGTCTGGTGTAGCTGAAACAAAATCCAGGACTATGTAGCACTTTAAAGACTAACAAGATGTTCTCATTAACAATCTTACTCTCAACATTTTATTTCTTGTATTAATATCTCTTTAGAGTTTAGATTCTAAAGGATTGGCCCAGCGTGATCTTGTGGGTAAGATCTAAAGTGAAAATTGGCTTGGAACTGTGGCTGAGTCCTTTGGACCAGGAGGATCTGTTTGGAGTTGGTGAGTGTGGGTTTTATAACCTCTCACCTGTGTGTGAGGCCTAAGTCTGGTGATGGCACCGGGAAGCTGGAGTGTCTAAGGGATCTGAGGAAGTGGGTCTGGCCCACGAAAGCTCATCATCTAATAAGCCATCTTGATAGTCTTTAAAGTGCTACATAGTCCTGTATTTTGTTCAAACAAGAGAATCACAGCCCTATCTCACAGTGAAATTCAGACACAACATAAGCTAAACTGGCAAAATGGATGGATCAAAGTCTTCGTGCAAGAAAACAAGCCTGAAAGGACACTTTTCAGGAGGCAAACTGCTTGATTTATAATGAAAATGAATTAAAACGTAAAAATGGTAGGATCATATGCCTAAGACAAAGTCTATTCAGTTAATACCTAATGAACACAAAGAGGCCTTATCTAAACTGTGTTTGAACAAATTGTTTTTGTTTATCTGACTGCAAGCTGGGCTTGCATGTTCTCAGACACACCGGAAATAAAAGTTTGCAATATATATTTGGAATGAGGTTATCTAAAAATGTACACACCTATAACATGTTAGCAATGCCATACCTTTTTCTAATTGCAAGACAGTTGTGTCCTAATTAAAGTTGAACATATATATATAGTGGACAACGCAAGTAGATGAATTACTGAATATTCAAGAGTGGGACGTTTTTCCCCTCAAACTTGACTTCTATTGATTCATCCTCTTCCTCTTCAATAAGAAGAAAATCCTTCATGGTATTAGTGAATCTGTGAAAACACGAAAGAACAAACATATAATTTAAAACATCTTGCTTCACTGTATGACAGAAGTGGCATCAATATTGTCTATTTTAAACTGTAAGGCTACATCTACATTGCGCATTCTTATGCAAGAAGATATGCAAATGATGCATGGCGATGAATACTGCCGCGCCTCACTTGCATATCAAATGAGCAGTCTACACTACTCCTTCTTGTGCAGGAGCCCTTCTGCCTGAAAATAAGCGGCAGAACGTCTTTTGCACAAGAGGGGAGTTTGGCACAAGAAGGAACACTGTAGACTGCTCCTTCTTGTGCAAAAGTCCCTTGTGCAAAAATTAGGTATGCATATTCATCGCCGCATGTCATTTGCATATCTTCTTGCACAAGAATGCGCAATGTAGACATAACCTAAATAAGATAGTGAAAAGCCTTATCTTCAACAATTGTCACATATTCTGACTTTTTCTTGTGCTATCAAATTAAATGGAGTTTTTTATTCCCTTTGCCAGTCATAATATGAAATCATTAGGCACAAAGATTGTACAGTCCCTTCCCTGTTACTATATATGAGCACAGAAGTTTCTCTACCGGAAAATAAATGTTGGTAATCTTACAAGTAGCAAATGAAGTAGAATCAGACACCTTGTGCTCATATACAATAAATCATAGGTTTAATCTGATGTAAAATATTCATCATGTACAGAAAGTATATTACAAACACGTTATCCAACAAAGATAGCGATCGAATCTGCTACATTAAAAGATTTAGTAACATGATTTCTCTTAACGCCTAATCATGTATATTGCTTAACTTTGCTTCATTCTTTAACATTACATTACATTTTCAACTTATGGTAAATGGGCTACAGCAGTTTTTTAATTGTTCCCATTGGAATTCAAGGGTACTGAACACTTCGCAAACTTGTTGTACATCGTATGTCAATAGTGTGAAATAATCTTAACATTGCTGGATGTGTAAAAACAGTAGAGTTCTGATATATTGTCACACCAATGTAAGCAACACACTGCTATCATTGTTAATCATTATTTATTCTGCATTCATAAAGACAGAATGATTAGTCAGCTTAACACTATAAATTCTTCATATTTTAGTCTTTTACCATCTTTTAATAAGATCCTGAATTGAAAACAGATACAGATCATCAGCTGGTGTAAACCTATGTACTCAATAGAGCTGAACTATTTATACCAGCTGAGGATCTGCTTCCTTAAAAAAATCTTAATGTGCTTCAGCTGTGTTTGCTTGCACTAAGGAATGCTTTGCAAATAAAGGAATGCTTTGCAAATAAAGACTTTTCTTATGGATGCTTTTGAATTTTAGAGACACAACAATTTTGAAGGAAGCACAATTCCTGCTCTAATTAATCAAGGCTATCCCTTTTAATAAATTATTGACTTGGGAGTCCATCTAATTATTACTTGACTAACAAAGAAAAAAAAGAGAAAAGAAAGAAAAAAGATAGCAAGAGCGACAGAGAGAAAAGACCCTGACCGATATGCCATTTTGACAATGTATTGTCTTTTCAGTGAGAAAGTGTGTGACTTCTTTTTAAAAATACCAATCCATTACAGCCTATGTTACCAGCTGGATGGAAACTGCCACTCTTAATGACATTCTTTGTGGCAATTAAAATGCTGAATATTTTAAATGATGCTCCTTTTTGTCTGCCTTTTCTACATTTCAATTATGAAAATTGTACGCCCTTGCCACACAGTTGATTTTTAATATGCATAATGGTGCTTCCTATGCTCTAAGAAAGGCAATAATTCTGGGTGGGGAGGTACATAAATTGGGCATCTCTCTACATTTTGGTTTCTATGGAACTTCCAGCTCG